CCACAGTGACCTGGCCCTCCTACACCAACCATTCATCAAGAAAATGCCCACAGACATGCCCACAGCCAATCTGATGGAGGCAATCCCTCAACTGAGATTTCCTCTTCCCAGGTGACTCATTTGTGTCAGGTTGACAAAACCCAACCAGCACTCTCCTCTATGAGAAGACTTGTAAAAGGTCCCGTGTCACACAGTATCATGAGAAGAAGGAAGTTACTCTCTATAGTAGGAAATTATCAATACAGAGTCAGGTAGAAATATAAGGGTATTTAATAGGGAAAAGCCTTACTTACAGAGCGAACCAGCCAGCCGGTGGTAGTCTGTACAGCAAGAAGCAAAGAGAAACCGAAAACGAAACGCAGTCCCCCCTACTCACTCTGACCACGCACACACATAGAAGGAGCACCATGAGGCATCACCCATTCCTGGATAAAATACATCCAGTCTGGCTTTGCAAAAATTATGGTCCAGTAAATGATTTTACAAAGTAAAGTGGTCCTTGATTAACACTGTTGCCATATATTATATGCCATTTCATGAATATTTTGAATATGAATAGTCTTTATCATAATACATAGATATCAGCAAACACAATTTGGAGTCAGATGCAAGATTTATAATGGTAGTCTATTTAGGAGAGTTACTCACACAGATACGCTTAGCCAGGCAACAGGGATCGAGAGAAGGGGCTTGCATGAGTGCCCCTGAATTACTTAAACCTTTCCCACATCACTCTGACCACATCCAAGCAGGCATAGTCAGCAACACCTGTGTCCAGCCCAAGCAGGTGTGGTTAGCGTTACCTGTGACCATGCCCAAGCTGGTGTGGTCAGCGGTACCTCTAATCATGCTTTCTCCCTCCACATAAAATAATCAGGGTGATAAATAATAGATACATAAGTAGGTCAGGCCAACTAAAACTGCCTTGAAAAACATTAATATTATGAAATATGAAAATTTAATGATACTTATTACCTTGATAAAATTGTGCACTAAATTGATTAAATTAAAGGCTCCACTCAAACCTGTCCACTAAGAGTTAATTCATGTTTTAACATCTCTGCACAGTGAACTCTAATGACCTATAAATCTCAGAAAGAGAAGTGAGTTCCTTGCTCTAAATAAAATGATGTGAAAAGGAACCATTAGTAGGCAAATCAGGTAGCCTGAACATCTTCATTTGTAGCTCTAAAGTTTTAGAATGGGCCCCTCTCGTTCTCTTACAAAACCAGACCACAACTTCTGTGAGGTCAGAACCAGATGCAGTTTGCATGGTTGCCAATCCTGTCACAGTGCTGGCTCTCAGTCTTTATGGGCAGGAATCTCTAATTCTTGCAATAATTCCAGGACACATGACCTTCCCCTCCAGTGACGTGTTGTAGGTACACATAAACACAACTTTCAATTTAAATGAGGGATAATAAAGAGTTTGTTTTCAAGTCAGTTATGAACATTCATGGTCCGGAAACACAGTTTCCAGTTTCCCTAAATACCAAGTCACAACCTGGTACAACTTGTGATTAGGTCCTAGCTCTGCAATACTCTGACACTTCACATTGAAGTTCCTCCTAACCAATCTATTCAGAACCATCAGGCAAGTTCATATTCTTTTGGGGATTGTCATCTTCAGTTGGCATCTTAAGTTGGTAAATGGCACCTGAGATGGAATGTAGGAGGAAGGGGAGTAGTTTTTCTATAGTCACAGTTCAGTATTTAGGAAGCCAGCATGCTTCATGATCATAAAATCTTCTTATCGTGGTTTTCTTGGCAAGCAAGAAGAGCACACAGACCCTTTTTCCTGTGAGGGAACCCTAGCCACCCCATCCCAGGCTTCAGAGTTCATTATGAACCTCCAGGTTGTCATTTTAAGTCTCCTTCTGCACTCCTGGCTTTTCAGCATGAGGGGAATGCCATGGTCCTTGTTTCACACAACTACACTCAACTGTCATATTTCAGCACATTCTTTTGCCCTTGGCCATGTCAACAATGTATTAGCAGAAAGTCTGATATATACAGGGCAGCATCCAGTCTACTACTAGTGGGGAGGTACTTTGGAACTAAGGGATTTAGTGTTTGATGAATGGCTCTGGGTGTCAAGTAATATATCTCACAAATGATGAAAGGGGACAAGAAGATGGAGTGGCAGGAATATGTGTACTTCAGAAGTAAATGGAAAACCGGTGGCCTTAAATCCCTTATGTGTATATAAAGTAAAGTGAGTTTTATAGACCAGTTAACTCAGATTTATCATCCAATTCATTTGTGCAGTAATTAAACTCTTAGACTCAGTAGTATAAGAGATGCTAATTAACCTCTTTGCAAAATGTTCAAGTGTTCCTAAATGGACAATAACTCTTCTCCCTGTCTCATTACTGTGCCTCCATGTACCTCCAGCAGCATTATTCCAGAGTTCTATGTGAGGATGTGCACAAAAGGTGCTCACCGGCAATATGCCTCAGTTTCTCAAACCATGAGGAATACAGGGATCTCCCACGCACCCACACCCCCCCATGGCACATTTGAATAACTCATCTCTGTGTTTGCCTTGGCTTACTTCTGCCTTGAACCAGCTGCCTGCGATAGCGCCCAGTTCTCCATTTCAGTTCTCAAAGGGCTTCTGTGTCAGGAACATCCTCTCGACCATGATCCTCCAAGGCCGTGACTTATCTTTAAATGTTTGCCAGGGTTCAAATCTCCACCTCTATCCAAACTTACACAGCCCACTGGCCTTCTTGCTAATCTGCCCAATCACAACACAGAGTAGGAACACCTTGCAGGGAGAACTTTACTCCCACACATAGTTAGAAACATGCTTCCATTTTTTCAGATCACATGTTGCCATTCAGCTTCTTGCTCACTTTATGTCACATCTTTGTGTAATGTTCTGAAGTTACTGCTTATTTGCTCACTGATACAAATACTGGAACCAAAACCAATCTTCTTCTGGATGGTACAGCTGCAGGAGTGAGCCAAATTCAGGGGAGAGTCGATTTCTCCAAGGAATAAATAAACCCAGGGATGTTACAGGCATAAAGAACTGTTAGCTCTCTGCAATAGTGGAGACCTAAGTCTGACTTTCAGTAGAAATATGGAGATTGCAAGAGCCCCTAAGCTATGATCTAGTGAAGGATTTGTTTGAACATCAAGTGCCTGAGTTGAGAAGATTGCTACATGGGTAAAATGCTTGCTGTACAAGCCTGAGAACTTGAGTTCAGATTCCCAGAATCCATGTAAAAATACAGGCACTTGTCTAGAGCCCCAGTACAATGTGGTCAGAGACAGGTGGATGGATCCTGGGGCTACAAAATGGCAGGCTCCTGGTTCAGCAAGAGACCACATCTCAAAAATAAGTGAATAAATAAAACAGAGAAATCATTGAAGATTAAATCCCAATACCTCCTCTGTCCTCCACACATGCCTCAAAAGGGGAAGGCATTTGCACACATGATTGCATGCATACACAGAGAGAGAGAGAGAGAGAGAGAGAGAGAGAGAGAGAGAGAGAGAGAGAGAGAGAGAGAGAGAAAGAGAGAGAGAGAGAGAGAGAGTTTAATACTATAAGATATAGTAGCTCACTCCTTTAATCTTGGCACTCAGAGGCTGAAGCAGGAAGATGGCCAGTGTGTCTTGAAAAGGGTAGACTATGGCGTACCAGCAATAGAATCACTGGAATTGTTAATCAAAAGCATAGATTGCTTGGCCTCACTAAAGAGCCTTGGAAATGGATTTCATCAGGCAGATGCTGGGTTCTCGGTCATTATCAAGCTCTCAGTGATTACATTTGCAGAGAGCCTTACATCCTACTGATGTTAAAGAGAGAGAGAATACACAAAAGGCACAGCTAACACCAATGGCTCTCTCGCTCCTGAAGGACCACAAGATCCCAGTAATTCCTGTGGATGTACAAGTGAAGAGTGACAGCCAGAATCAGAGATTTCTGCTGGTTTTGGTTAAAAGGATAGTGAACACTAAATTTGTGTAAATGTTTTCAAGTCTCTACAGAGTATTTTATGTGTATGCATGTTGTGTCTGCATGTATATCTGTGTACTATGTGCACACCTGATGCCAAAGGAGTCAGAGAGAGTATTGGATTCCCTAGAACTGGAGTTGAGGACAGTTTGCTGATATCTGGGTTCTAGGCATTAAACCCTGTTTTGGAATTCAGTAGTAGCAGCCCACAGCACAGCACAACTGAGAGCATGGACTTAAAAGGATAGTGAACACTAAATTTGTGTAAATGTTTTCAAGTCTCTACAGAGTATTTTATGTGTATGCATGTTGTGTCTGCATGTATATCTGTGTACTATGTGCACACCTGATGCCAAAGGAGTCAGAGAGAGTATTGGATTCCCTAGAACTGGAGTTGAGTACAGTTTGCTGATATGTGGGTTCTAGGCATTAAACCCTGATCTTCTTCAAGAACAGCAAGTACCCTTTACCACTGAGTTGTATCTCTAGCACCAGAGAGAATTTATTAATAGCAAGTGGGAAAGGGGAAGGACAGCCATGTAATACAAAGAAAAAGTGAATTTGATTGACAAAAGTTGAAGAGCTCCTATAGGGCCCACCCTATGTTTGTTGAGAAAACAGTGTGGTAGAGAAAAGGATAGCAGAAAAGGAAACCCAGGCCTCAGGCTGTTCCCATTGTCTCCAGGTTCTCACAGAATGTTGTTGTCCAGTGCCTCATTGTAGCATTTCCTGTTGCACAAATGCTTAGCAGCAGCATATTTCTAAAAAAAAAAAAAAAAAAAAAAAAAAAAAAAAAAAAAAAAAATGAAAGAAAGGAAACCCCTTAATGAGAGTTAATGCTATTGCTAAGACATCATCTAAATCCTTGACAGCAGAAAAGTCAGGAAGCCACATTCCCCACCAACACATTCTATAGAAAGTGCTGAAGTCTACAGGTGAGAAGAAGCTGGACAACAATGCTCATGGCTGCAGCACCAGTTAGCAGTCAGCTAAGCCAGCATCCAGATAACTGGAAATGTTTCCTCCCCAGTCTCAGGAGGCCCAGGTGCTGAAACAATTGGCAGAGAAGAGGGAGCATGAGCGAGAAGTCCTCCAGAAGGCTTTGGAGGAGAACAACAACTTCAGCAAGATGGCAGAGGAGAAGCTGATCCTGAAAATGGAACAAATTAAGGAAAACCGTGAGGCTAATCTAGCTGCTATCATCGAACGTCTGCAGGAAAAGGTAAGGGCACCAGACTGCTGAGCAGGGGAGACAAACCCTGTGCAGCACGGCTGGGGAGGGGGGCATGTCTGTGCAGCACAGCTGGGGGACATGCCTGTGCAGTACGTGCTGGGAAATGGGGTGGGACAGTCAGCCTCAGGCTGCTCTCATCATGTAGTTTGGCTCTGTGACCTGACCCTGTGGTGGAAAAGGGGAATTCTATAAGCACGGGAGCCCTCGTCAAATGTTCACAGAACAGTGGACTCAAGAAGGCTGGTCTCAAATATGTATGAGTTCTGTACAAATCAATGTGTTGCAAAAATACCAAGGTGTAGATGTTTAACTGATTATATTAATGCTATAATACTTAATGTTAATAGAAAATTAACATAATATTTCATTAAAAATAATACATAAACTTATTACAAAACTTACAAATTTAAATATTTTGTAAAGAAATCTGGAGCATGGGAGCATAGCAGGGGGATTTCATCATGTTTGGTATCCTTAGGTCTTATTCCATATCTCCCTGCACAGGTGCAAATACACACACACACACACAAACACACACACACACCATCTCCCAAAAGCCTTCTTTTGAAACAATACACAATGTAGCTATGAATAGCTTTGCTTTGTCCATTTCCAGAAACTAGATTAAGCTTGAAAAATAGGAACCCTGAAAAAGATACATCTGTTCTTCTCACCTTTGGCCCGTTCTCACAACTACATTATGTCAGGCCCTGAAGATGGAGAGATGCTGCCATCCTCCAAGCACTGAGAATTTACACTCAAACTCATAATCCTCCTGCCTCAGTCCCAGAACTCAAATTGCAGATGTGTACTGCTGTACCCAGCTAAAGACTTTTAAAAATGTTATTCCCCAGAGGTCTTCTTAGTCAAATATGCTCTTCATAAATTTTTGGGAACACTTTATGGGAAAGGGTGCATGAACTTCTGGGAACACTGCCTGGGAAAGGGTGTAGGCTCCAGCATAGAAGTAAGTCCCTGGATGTGTGAACACGTCCTAGGGATTTGGGCAGAAGCCAGGAGAACCAACTTTTGATCACCTTTTTTAAATTTGTAAGTAGTTGTGTCCATGTCCTTCAGAGTGGCACCCTGTCTCTCCCAATGTCTTAAGTCAGACTTTGGCTTAACACAGATCATATCAGTAAAGGTCATTGCTAGGACCAGATTTTCTTTGACATTCTAACACTAAATGGATGCTTTTCA